GGAAAGAGGATCCCACTAAAAATAAAGAAAATATATGTAGTCCTAGGAGTTCCTCCTTCCGCATTACAACTCTACCCAAAAAAGAAATAAAAATGAAACAAAGGTAAATGTAAACCAAAAATACATGTATCCAACCAAAACGTATACCCAAAGAGTGAAGTATTAGCGCAAGTTGCAAGCCAAAAACAGACGTCTTGAAAGCTGGAAAGAGCACCAACGAGCAAGCCACAAAATTCAAAAACCTGTAGCTCAAAAACTGTGAAAACAACAAACAAGCAAGATAACAAGTGAGCATATAACAAATAAGGAGCCACGGTCCAGTCCAAAGGAAAGAGAGAAAGCCTCGTATAAATTTGGAGCCATGAGCATCTATATCGAAAATAACAAGCCCATTCACAAAAAAGAGGTAGAGCTACCTAAATTGGCAAGCCAATTAGCGGGTTGGTTCCCTAGTATTCCCAGAAAAATTATTGCAATAAATCTCATAAGTCATATCTCTACAAAACCCCCCCAAGCCAAAACCCGACGCAAGACCCATCTGCAAATCATGATAGTGAGCAAAAGATTCCTCTCAGGAGTGACGATAGTACTAAACCACAAACTAACTTTACTCCATATAAATAGTGAAAAGGGACAAGAGAAGAAAATATGCTCTATAGTCTCCTCCGCCGAATTACACAAACAATAAAGAGATGCTATTCTCAAACCTTTCAACTTTAATATATCATCACATGGTATTATAGAATGGAAAATGTGTCACACTATAAGGGGAGTAAATGCCCAACTTCACACCCCTTCACCCCAAGGGAGTTTTTGAAAATTATGTAAAGAGGCATACAAAGATTTAGTAATGGAGGTAGTCAAGGAAAATTTCAAAGTAGGAGTATCTTGAAAATGAGGGTCAAATGGAATGTGGAAATGAACGTAGCTCACTCCATCCCCAAAATGCTAGTGAGAAGAGGAAAATTCCAATGGTCGTTTACCTAAGTATCCAACACCTTGAGACTAGAATACCTCATATCTCTCATATCAAGCAAAATATGGGACCAACAATCATGCCAAAAAGAAATATTTCCACTACCCACCTCCCAGTAAATGAAATTCTTCGCCCAGTCTCTAATATGAAGCAAACTCTTCCACGTCGTGGAATTACCCAATCGCCAATTAATCAAAGCAGGATGATAGAAATGACAATATTTCCCGTGCATGAAATTAGCCCATAAAGACTCATCTTTCCTGAAATTAAACCATTGCTTAAAAACATTAATATCAGTAATATGATGCAGAGATTTGAAGCCCAAACCACCAGCATGTAGGGGTTTGCAAACATTCTTCCAAGACATTCATCTTCTACCAAAGTGATTTCCCACCCATAAAAACTTATTGAAACATCTTTCAAGATTCAAAATAGTACTTTTTTTTGTTGTACTTGAAGAGTGTACAAAGGAAAAGAGTGAAGGATGCTTCTGAGCAATGTAATACGACCCCCAAAGGAAATAAAATTATTTTTCCAATCCAAAATTTTTTTCTGCACCTTTTCCACTACCTCGTCAAACTGAATACGTCTCTTCCTGCCTTTAAGGAGAAAAACCACAAGATATTTAAGAGGAAGGGTAGAGAGGGAGAAGCCCATAAAATTGGCAATCCAACATGCATTAGAACGATTGACCATGTTATTCAACATGCATTAGAACGATTGACCATGTTTCTCAAGTAGATGTTACATTTATTAGCATTAAATAGTAGGCTAGAGACGGATTGGAAGTCAACCATTAAGCTGTGAATCTCCTTCACCGTTTTTTTGCTAGCATTAGAAAATAGTATCATGTCATCGACATAAGCTAAATGAGTGACCACCATGTTAAATTTATGAGTGTATTGCAAATTGAGGTTTCTCCTGAAAAGATTGTTTAGGAGACGAGAAGGATAATCAAATATGAAAATGAAAATAGTAGGGGACAAAGAATCTCCCTGCTTAATCCCACGGCCCGCACTAAAAAAGCCCCGAGACTGACCATTAATCCGAGATTGGCCATTGCCCCGAGACTGACCATTAATGAAAATACTATATTTATTGCAATGAAGCCAAGAGAGGATAATTTTGCAAAAATCCTGAGAGAAACCTTGTGCAATAAGAATTTTCAATATAAACTCCCAGCTGAGAGAATCATAAGCCATACAGACATCCAATTTAGTGATCATGTTGCCCCTGTACATTTTTTATCAATGTCAAGAATGAGTTCCTGTGCCAGCATGATGTTATCAGTGATCCCCCGCCCCTGAATAAAAGAGGATTGATTCAAAGAAATTAATTTGTTGAGGTGAGGTTGGATGCGTCTGACCAAAATTTTACTAATCAACTTTGAGATAACAGAAGTCAGAGGGATGGGTCTAAAATGATTCCAAGAGTTCTTTTGAGTATTTTTGGGAATGAGAACAATTGTAGCCGTAAAAAAATAATTTCCTGGTGTTTCTCCTTTAAAGAAACTCTGAATAGCCTCCACTACCTGATCTTACAATACTCCAACATTTAATGTAGAAAGCAGAAGTGAAGCCATCCGACCCCGGAGCTTTATTACAATTAATATCCAGCATAGTAGAATAGATTTCCTCATCCGAGGGAGTACCGCAAAGATCAAGATCCACCATGTGATGACGTACATCATCAAATAAAGAGGCATCAATAGAGCCCGATGTCTCGTGAAACTCATAAAGTTTAGAAAAATAAAGAACCGCACTCTCCCCTATCTCTTCATCCCTAGTAATCCAATTACCCTCACTGTTTTTAATCCTCACAGTAGTGTTATTGGCTTTTCTTTGTTTAATGCAGGCATGAAAATATTTAGTGTTTCTATCTCCTTGAGAGAAATGGGTCTCCCCAACTTTTTGTTGCAACAACTCCTCCCAAAGAGAGGCCTCTAGTAATTTTTTATTGGCTTCCTATAAATCGTGGATGATATCATTAGTATTCCATCAAGAGCCTGAAGCATACTCACCCTATGTTCGACCCTTTTGACTCTAGCATGTACATCACCAAAAACATCCAAATTCCAAGACCTTAGAGCAGCAGTCACCTTCTTATGTAATTTCCAAAAAGTGTACCAAGCATTACCCACCTTCTCACATTTCCAATTCTCAGCAACCAATCGCAATAAATCATCATGTCTAGCCTAGACATTTAAGAAACAAAAGTGATAGGTGGAGACCTTTTTAAAATAATTAAAAGATAAGAGAAATGGGCTATGATCTGAGCCAGTTCTGCAAAGGTGTTGAACCTGCGAAAACCCATAAGAGGAGATCCACAGTTGATTAGCAAGACATCTATCAAGTCGTTCGAACAACTTACCCCTTTTCCAAGTAAATTTAGAACCAATGAAACCCAAGTCAGAAATGCTCGCTAGAGCCAAAGTTTCATTGAATTTATCAGTTAAAGTAGTGTCAAATCTCCGACCACCTAATTTTTCAAATTCGTGCATCACCATATTGAAATCCCCTCCAACCATCCAGTTTTGATTGATAGAAGAACTCATCTCCAAAAGTTTGTGTCAGAGAACAAATATAACATTAGAAGTTCCGGCGTAGACAAAAGTAAGAAATCCCGATGAAACATCCATAGAGAAGACAGTATGTACAAACTGTCTATCATCAGTAATGACATCAATTGTAATATGCATCCTCCCAAACAACCAAATTTTGTTAGAGCAATTAGCAAAAAAAGAGAAATTTTTTAATGTACCCAAGATACGGTTATCCGGAGAGGAGACCAAGGGTTCCAAAATAACAAATATATCAACCTTATGAATCTTTGTCATTAATTTGAGTCTACCAAGGGAGCGAGGATCCGCAGCTCCCCTGATATTCCAAATAAGGATGTTAAATATGAGTAGGCATATTACCCTTCCTAGAAGATCTAGGTCGGGTCTGTCCATTTTCTCCATCTGAAAAGTATTGATTCATCTCTAGCATATTATTCCCATTAGTGTGATTTCGCACCTCCTCTTGAACTCTATTCCTCCTACGGTACTCTTGAACATGTCATTCATCCCTTAAAACTTTTGAAATATCTTCAAAAGGAGTGTCAGAGAGTGCATCAGAATGATGAGAATAGATAGAATTATTATCCATATTCAAAGCGTCTGGGAGAGAAGTCGAGGAAGGACGAGCCCCCTCAGTAATAGAGATGATGATAGGAGGGTCCAGAGCAGGTAGTGTCTGTGTAGTATTCTCAACCGGGGCAATAGCATTAGAGAAGGTAGGATCTTGGTTTTTATTAGCATTCGAAATAACAGTGAGGCAGAAGCCCCCTCAATATTAGAAATATCAGGAGGTTTCGAATCAGATAACACCTGCTCAATTCTACCATCGGCAGGAGCCGAAGGGATGATAGTGGGGTGGGATACAACTGCTAAAGGATCAGCCTGAACAGCCGCAGCATTTTCAGGAAGCGTAGTTTGCTTCACGTGCGGTTGTTTCCTACCATCCCCTTTCCTCGGTTCAGGATGTAACTTGAAACATTGATCCTGATCATGACCAAACATTCGACAATGTGTGCAGTAGGAGGGTTGTTGTTCTAATAATACCTATTGCCAGTAACCAATGTGCTCCGACCCAATCCAAACCTCATCAGGTGGAGATAAAGTCACATCCAGTTCAATTAAAACGCTAGCCATAGAAGGTCTCGTGAGATTATAGGTGGGAGCATCTAATTTTAGAGGTCTCCCGAACATAGCAGCTAAAGAGAAGAAGATTTCATGATTGAAGAGATGAACTTTCAAAGATGGGAATCTAAGCCAGACTGGAATAATAGGAGCCTCTTCTTTATGATCAAAATTTTTTGACCATTTTAATACCTTCATATCGCAGTCCTCAAACCACACCAAACATTTGAAAAACAGGCACGTATAGTCCTCTTCATTAGACAGTTGGATCAAAATGTGCCTTCCATCCAAAAGACCTATCTTCCATTCTCCCATAAGCCTCATCAATTCAAAGTGTTTTCGAAGAAACTCCAATTTTGGATACCCATAAAGGAACTTCCTTACCAGATGAAGACAGCAGGAGGAGGCGAGTTCGTAGTTCTCAGCATCAGAGAGAAAGAGAGCAAACTTTCCCCCTTTCCGGCCAGGACGTAGAACGAAAGAAGTATTGGAATCGAGTGCAAGATTGTCGTAGAAAGCAGAAGGGAAGTTTGGAACACCATCAGTGGTAACGCTAGCATAAGAATGAAGCCTTTTACCAGTGTCACCAAGGCCGCCAAACATCGCGCCAGCGTATGAGCGAGCCATGACGAACAATCACTAGTGTCTCCATCGAACCGCAAACCTTAGCAGAGACGGAGGCGGAAACATCGTGCTTTTGTATTAAAAAAAACCCTATATATATATATATTGTTGTTTTATATATGTGATAAGATCTGAATGAAAATGTGACTTATGATATTTTGATGATATTAATGGCTCTATGTTTGTAAAAGTTGAAGAAAAATAATTAAATAAAATTTCTTCCAAATAAATTGTGGAAAATAATCAACTATTAGGAACTTGACATGATGATACCCACCTCGATATGACGATTTACGGTGACACCAATGGAGTTAGGAATGCAAGAGATGATTGTAGGACGAAAAGTGTAAGAGAGATGAACTTAGGCGACGAATAACGGTATAACAAAAACAGAGCAAGCAAACACTCTGACGCAAGGCACAAGATGGTAAGAGTCCAGTGATATCCAAGAGAAATCAAACAAGGAACAGATATCATGAGTACATTTTATACGTCAATAAATGAAGTACAAAAAGAATAAAGAATGAACAACTCCAGCTTCAGGAACTAAGATAAGAGAGAGAGAGAGAGAAATTGATTACAAGACTAACGGAGAAAACTATAGAAACAACAGAATGCATATACTCTTTCCTCACGATTGAGTGATTTGAAGTATTACAGCAAATATTTTTGTAAACTTATTTGATGAATCCTTGGGAAAAAGAAGCTGGAAATATTTATAAGTAAAAAAGAAGAGAAAAGCGATTCTGAAAAACAGCAAAAGAATCGCTGACCTGTTTTTACCAAAAATTTCTATGCCTTTTGAGACGAGATCCATCTCAAAGGTCTTCCATGATTTATAGCAACTATCACCTTTGCATATATTCTCACCAACAAACTCTTTTCTTGAAATTTCATCACCATCAGGTGCCGCTGTCTCCTTGATCATCCCAGCATGAGTGTCTTTCAGACCATCAGGACAAGTTGAATCAGAACATTCATGTAGTGCCAATTTCTTTTTTTTGGATTGTTTAATTTCTTTCTTTGCAACTTTACCATGTGATGATGAGGAGGCTCCCTTTTTTCCATTGCATGTTTTTGACCTGAGTTTCATTTCTTTCTTAAATGATCCCTTTACCATAGAATCCGAGTCTGATCGTACCAATTGCTTCTGTTTTTTCCTTATGCAAACTAACACACGCTCAGCAACTCTTTTATTGTTTTTCTTTCCACTTTTTACACCAAGATTAATTTTCGACGGAGATGAGTGATTGATGGTCAAATTCTCCTGGCAAGCTCGTACTTCTGACTCACTACTTTCGGATACAACTCTTGCACTTAATGAAGCACTTTCACTTTGATTGGACCTTGCTCTCCTCCCAACAGAAGAACTGCATGATTTCTTTCTTGGTGAAAGATGTGCTCCAGCATTTCCATTTGAATTGGTAAACTCTTCAGGAACATGAAGGATCTGAGAATTCACAGTAGAATTGCCCTCTGATTTCGACGCCTGACAAGAAAAGCGCATAGAAACTTCACAAATGTTCACACGATCAAATCACATTAGTTGAACTCCAGCTTAAAAGAATACCTACCAGCCTAAAACAATGGATTCCGCAAGGGGATCCATCATCTGAGCAGCTCCATGGAGGTTGTTTTTCTGACTGACAAGGGATACAACCATAAATACTAAGAATTAACATGCAATATAGCAACAAATTTACTTTCAATCAACTTACAGGAAACACTAAATCCTGAGAACATCCATGCAGTCTACAATCAAAAACCTGCAGAACACATACCACTAACACATTAGATTTTAATAAGTATGGTAAGTAGCAGAGGGAAACTTACCAGACACCTTCTGCAAAAGAGGTTATCAAAGGAATCAAGAGCAGCATCCAGATCTTTGTCCAAAAAAGAATCTTCAATCCTGCCATCTTTCTGAACACTTTTATCACCTCTCTCTACCAGAGAAATATTCTCGTGTCTTGCCTGTATAAGATGTTTGATGTTGTTTCATACGTCTGTAAATGCCAGCAGAAAATGAATGGCAAAGACCTAAGCCCAAGATTACAGTAAATGGATATTCATCACATTTAAAAAGTAATCCAGGGCAGTAATATAATAAACGAATGAAATTGCTATGCGAAACAGACGAGTTCAGTCTGAAGAAGGTATCACTAAAGATACCTTGATTTCACTAGGACACTTATCAAGGCACTGGGACAAAGACTCGAGCACAAGATCAGATAGGCCTACTTCTTGGATAGTCAACCTGAGTTAAAATCCAAATTAATAGTTTAGATCCTGAACACAATATACACTAAAATTTGAAATAACCAATCAAATGTGGAATTTATAAAAGCCATTTGAGAAAATCTTTCAAGACCAAAGTTAAATTTAAAAATAAAAATAAAAACATTGCAAGCCTGCAATGTGCTAGTGCTCAAATCATTAGTAAAACTTTGCTATCAACTATTCAACGTTTTCTACCCAGAAAAGAATAATGCATAAAACATAAATATCATTTTATAAAATTTACAATTAAATAAAATGGTGATATAAAAATAAAAATATTTGAGAAATCTCCATCAGCATATTGTTTCAAAAATATTGTAAGATACACAATACCTTCCACTTAATCATGTCCTTTAAGGGTGTGTTGGGGGCAGCGTTCTAGTTGTGGTGCGGCAGCTAAATGCAACTGTGTTTGAAAAAAACTTTGCAACAGATTTTTGGGATTGTTTGAGTGAACCGCAGGGCGCGGGGTCGAATCCCACAACCCACATTTTGTTCACGAAATATTCTCATTATGCCCTCGCGTTTTGTTGGACTCCGCGATTCCCTGCCCTCATGTTCTCTTTTCGACCTCGCGACCCTGTCTTGCTTCTCTCGCGATCATCTGCCCTAACTCCTCCTCTCCCCCTTAACTCTGGTCGGCGGTTCCAGTTGCATCTCTCTTCTCCTTGCTTCCTCCCGTCTCCCTAGTATCTGGATTCGGTGGCACTCACTCATTTTCCCATACGGTATTCTCTACCCTACACTATTAGCATTGATATTCTAGGTAATGGTTTGAGGTTACCAATTTCAAGTTTGCTCCTTGCGATTTATGGGTTTGGTTTATTTGTGGTTTCTGGTTTTTATTTCGTTGTCAATGCGGCCTTTGCACTATCGTCCATGCTACAAGGTTTCTATGTGCGCCTCTTTGGGATTTCAGGCAATTTCCTTTATATATTTGGCTTATGCTCTCTATAATATTTTGGAAGGGTATGTGGGAAGGGCATGATTTGAAGCCCTAAGTGAATGCTGACATTTTCGTAGTCAGTGGTTCGAATTTTTCGATTTCTTGGCCTCTGTTAGAAAGAATTTTTATTTTTTTTTAGCCCAGTACAGCGTGCTTAGTTGGGCCTCTTCCCTTTATTTTATTTTTAGTTCAATTGGAGCAGTCATGCTGCTCTACTCCTCGATTGGTTCTTGTTGGTGGTTTGTCCTCTATTGGATTAGGCAATGCTATTTTAGTGGTGATAATTATAGGGGTGCTGCGGGTGATTTTTTTTTTTTTTGCCACAGTGGTGTGTGATGTTGGTGATGTTGGTGGTGATTGACACGCCAAAATATACCACAACGTAAGTAAGTCGCAAACCACAAGTATACGCGTTAAGTAATAATGCGGTTAAAAAGTGTTGCGTATCGATCCCACGAGAAAAGTATTAAGAATTATTCTGAAGGGCGATTCTCTAGCTTACCACACTTCTAAATCTAGTTTAGTATGATCACAAATAAGATGTGGTTTTCTAAAATCCTACTGAAAAGCAAAAACAAAAGATAAGTTTGGAAAAATCCTCTTTATGTCTATGTCTAGGTCAAAACAATGCTAAAATTCATAAAGTTGAGACTTCTTCAATCTCCATAACATCCCCCGAATTTGTTCTGATCCCCTTTTTAGGTTGCAAAACTCGTATAAAATATGTCTATTGTTATCTGGATTCTCTGGTTAACCATTTCGTTCCACTGCGCAATAGGTAGAAGTCACAAATAATGAAATATGCTAACATTTTAATTAACCAGATCAGGAGTAAATGAAACTCAATGATTAACACGACCACAAAAAACCCTGATTTCTAAGAAAAATGATATAGGGAAAGCAAGGGAAAGAATCATCTGAGAAAACCACAAAATACAACCCATAAATCACAGCAAAACAAAAGGAAATTTAGATATGCATGATAGAAAGAATCTCGAAAAAAACATCTCGTCGAAACCATTGTTGCAAGAAAAAATGAAAAAAAATGCTTACAAAATGATTTGTTCTCTTCTCAACAACAATCGCCTCCTTTCTCATACAATAATCTCTCAGAAAATATAAGAAAATGCAAACTGAAAAAGGTAGAAACATTCTTAGCACCTCAACCTCAAGGGATGAAAAGAGTCTCAAGGAAAAACTCTTCAAAACCTCTTTCCAACCGTCTCCAACTCTCCTCTGGTCTCCTTTTTTTGAGAAGCCCTAGAAAACATTCTTATATCATAATCCACGAATAAGACAAGAAAATTTATTTCCAAAATGATTTCAAGCTCCGTCGACGTGGTCACGCCGAAAAGTGGCGTGGTAAGGCCGGCCTTCTAAATCAGGCGGCGTGGCCACGCCCAATCCCGATATGTCACTCCGCCTAACTAAATGTCTGGCGTGGTCAGCTGATGTCGATACCATGGTGTGGTCACGCCCTTTTATGCAACATTTAGGTTGGTTTTTCTCATTCCAAAATGCACGTATCTAACACTTGTAACTTGCACAACATAAAACAAACATTTCTCAAATCAAATCCGTGATAAATCACTAAAAATTACTGGTAAAATGCAGTATAAAAAACAAGTGAAATCACGTAAAATTGACGCATTTCTGTGATGTTGTCATAGTGATGCGTATGTATGTTGGGTATGGTTGATTTGCGCCAATGAGTTTTTGTGACATGGTGGTGGTGTTGATGCCAGTGTTGTGTGTGTAAATATTGGGGGTGATTCTTCAATGTTATGGTGGTGGTGTTGTTTGTGGTGATATTGTCATGTTGGTTGTGTTGTTGGTAATGGTTTATTTGTGTCATGGTGGTGTTGTTGATGGTGTGTGTGGATGCTAGTGGTATTTTTTTAGTGTCGGAGTGGCGATGATACTGGTGGTGTATGTGGATGTTGGTGGTAATTTTTTGGTGATATTGTCGTGGTGTTTTTCGTGGTGATGTTTGCAATGGCGTTGTTGGTGATGGTTTAATTGTGTCATTTTGGTCGTGTTGTAGGTGATTTGTGTGGATGTTGGTGGCAGTATTTTGGTACCAGGGTGGTGGTGATGTTGGTGGTTTTGTTGGAGATATTGGCGGTGGTGTTGTTAGTGGTCATGTCGTTGTTTGTGGCTTGTTGTGATGTTTCCTTTAAGTAATATTTTCAAGATATGGTATTTTAAATGACACTTTGTTTTTCCTTTGTTGTGCATTTATATTGCTTAGTTCTTTTTCATGCTAGTATCATCATGGTAAAGAAAAAAGAAATTGATTCATCGGATAACGGTGTCAGAATAATATTTTGCGGCCTTCATCTTAAATAGGTGGAATTAAGAAATGGGTATTTTAACTAGGAGGGCTAGCATAATATTATAAGTAAGTTTGGGAAGTGCACGGGAAGCGAATATAATAAGATGCAATTGAAAAATAAGTATGATCAGTTAGAGAACTAGAAACTATGGAAAAAGTTGAAGCATGGATCCACAGGCTTAAGTTGGAACCCGATAAAGCGAACTATCGATTCTTCAGAAGAATGGTGGGCCAAAAGATTGCAGAAGAAAATTTATGAAACGTGAAGTCCCTCATCAATTGATTATTTCTTCAATTACATAAACATATGAATAATCCATTAATTTGTAGGTTGTTTTAAATGTTAAAAAATTTAAGTTCAGTGGTATTGACCTTGAGCCTGAAGAAAAGTTGGATCGTATGTTTGGTGAAGTTGTTATCACGGGTGATCATGCATGGACCCCTAGTGAGAGAGGATTTGTTGGCATAGCTAAGCATGTGAATGTCGAGCTAACTGCTAGTTTCAAAGAAGGCCCTGGCTCTAACTTCAATGAAGTTGAATCTACTTGTCAATCTAAGCATCCTAAGGTAAAAAATAAGGTGTTTTTTTTCATTAAAAGTCAGATTTCACAGTTAATTGCTTCATACACCAAGGACCCCAACATATTATAAGCAACTCCTACTCAGCAATTAATGTGAATTCTGGAAGCAACTCCAAAAATTTGCAAGGACAAGATGTTGTGCTTGTTTTCTATAAAGCTGCTTGAAGACCCGACCCAGAGAAAGTTCTTTATGATGATTACCTCTGACCGTATGGTCAATTGTTTACGTTATTTCATGACAACATGGAAGCTTGAATTATAGTTTTTCTAGTTGGACACTTTATATTTATTTTTCATTTGGAGACTACCTATGCTACTTAAACAATGAGATGAGCCATGAAGCGATTCGAGTACTCTTCCTAAACAATCAGTACATATTTTTTAATTGGGTTGAATGCTCTGGTCAGATTCTCATCAGAAATTATCAAACTCAAGAACCCAACATTCCAAAGAACCCCCATAGAGATTTCACAAGACCGGCGGTATATGTCATATTTTATATTTATTCATATTTTCTTAAATTCAAATGAACACAATAATTTAGATACCCTTATTAAATGTTTTGGGATTGTGTTGGAGCAATCGATGAAACACATATGGATGCACGTGTGTCGGATAATGACAAGATCGCATTTATTGGGTAATGCAAGTCATTAACATAAAATGTTATGGTTGTATGTGACTTTAAAACATGTGTTTTGCCTTTGTTATGGTCGGTTGGGAAAGTAGTGCACACGACATTCGCATATTCAAATTTTTCTCAAGAACTAAAAAATACAACTTTCACAATCAACCCCACGCAAGCTCGAGTTTGAACTAACGAGAATATGTTTTCACTAAAATACTAATTATTATATTTATGTCAGATAAATAAAATTTAGTCAATGCCAAATACCCCTTACAAAAAGAGTTTCACAAACCATTTCTTGATACTAAATACCATATTCCTGATTTTCAAAGAGCTAACAATTTCACTCGGGATAAAAAAGAGATCTTTAACAAGAGACTCATCCGTATAAGATGTCATTGAAAGAACATTTGGAGTTTAGAAAAAAAAATGGGTCATACTGCGAGATAAGCTGACATATCCGTTTTGCAAACAAGTGCAGATTGTGGTCGTCACAATGGCTCTCCACGACTACATTCGACGCATCATTCACGCAGTGATATTGTGTTCAATATGGTTGATGAAGATCACCCACATGTCCCTACTGAAGCATATGAATATCGCATAGAACAGTCTTTATCAGAGGCTGAAAATGATTTACCTTAGACTTGCTCCCATAATGGGGAACTTAAAGGGAAGATAATAGAGTTAAGAGATCGAATTACATATGTCATAATTGTTGGTTGAATGAAGTGATTGAATGTTCTTTTGTTGTTATTTTATTTATAATGTGTTGTGAAACATCTATTATTTATTGTATGGATGATTTATGCAACGACGTACATTTTGAATCTCAATGTTGAGAACGTTTTATTTCTAGTTCTTTTGCATGCATTTTTCCCACTTATATGACATGTGAGGCAACTATGGGTATAATGTGTAAAGTAAGTTTTTATAGTATGTTTTTATTTTTTTAAGATTATAATGAGATATTCGATCTTCTTGGTTCTTCTTGATGTCCTATATGTTGTTTTTTGTTCTTGACATGTATGAAATCTCAATGAAGGCAACCAAGTTACTCTCCTTTATCAGTCTTATGACTTATGAGGTTCTTCTGGATGGTCGTTTTTTTGTGATATGCATATGTGATACATATGAGCTCGATACTACGTGTTTTAAAGACAACAAAGAAACTTTTTTTAAGGTTTGTTGTCTTCTTGCAGTAACAGATTCATTCGTATATATTTTGTTCTCTAAAATGTCACAGTTTCATAAAACTTAAATTGAGTATTTCTATTATTCTTTATTACTAATGTTGAATCTAAGGGTCTATATTTTGTTGTTTTAAACCTTCAGAAAAGATGAGCTCGAAGACCTCCGGTACCTCCAGAGCATTTTACTGTTACTATGGACTACAATGCTCTCCACTTCCTCCGCAATAGTCACATAGCTATAAGAAATAATTTTACAGGTGTCCAAAGAATAGAACAGGGAACTGTGACTTCTTTAGGTGGGTGGATCAGTTCGAGGATTTCACCTCTGATAGTGATCAAACGTGGAGAGTTTCGTTGGAGGAAGAATTATCTTATGACATTAAACAACTGTATTTTAAAAACATTATTATGATAATATTAATTGTTATTTAATAGTCTTGCTTCTAATTTTGATTATTGTGTTCTTCATTGTTTTGTGAGATGTGAGTTTTTATTTTGTAAAATTCAAACTGGATATTTATTTTAAAGTAAAAAATGTACTAGTAGGATTGGTTATGTTATAAATAGCACTGTACTGCAGGGCAGAAATATCATTTGTTCAGAAATAGCAGCAGTTTCCTGGCGTTGTTGCTACGCAGCAACTTTTTAATAAGTTGCAGCTGCCCCAAACAAACCCTAAGTAATACACATCCACAGATCAAAAACTTAAATTGGGATTTGAAGAAAAATTCATTATATACCAAAAAAAATTCAAACCTCGCCCATTCAGCAGAATATACTTATTAGTTTTGACATTCAATAATCACTTTTGTGATAACAAACCCCATTATTAATGATTCATTTGGGTTGGTTTTTTCTTAGGTTCATTTCAAAAAAATTGATACTAGAGTTAACCCAAACTACAACAGGAAAAAACAAATATTATTACTGAAATCAGATAGGTTGTGGCAATCAAGCATGTGATGGCAATTCCTCTCCTTTATATTCTATATAAGAGACACCTTCCGTTTCACAAAACAAGACTTAAATGTCAAAAGAGAGACTCACTAACCTCTTCATCTTTTCCCCTCCAACATAGACTCGCTTCTCTTCTTCCATAGGCAAGCCAATCCTCATCACAATCCTTCTTCAACAACCAAGAGCCCACACCCAGCCCTCAATCTACTCTTCTCCTTTCCCCTTCCTCTCAACCATACTCTCTTCTCCATGATAAGAATAAACCCAAGAACACAAGGTTAAGACCGATGCCACTCCATAGCATATCTATTAATAGCTCTTCAGTATGAGAGTTTGAAAACAAGAGGCCATTGATTACTAACACTGAGAATTTGAACTAATCACCAGTAGCAATGAGGGGAAGAATAAAAAATATTGCAAATGACTAGCAATGCAAAAAGTGCTCGCTTTACCGTAAAGTACTTATTTTCTGATAATTAAAGTAACTTCTACCAATTTAAATGCATTCTTGCAGTGAATCACCTAAAGAAACATGTAGATAGTAATTTTTAATGAGCACAGGTTGTCACTTTCCGTGCATATCAGAAATTCAAAATAATACAAATTCAGTCAAATGCCAGTTTAAAGCTCATACTAAGATCATGCATATGCAATTTCTTGCACCAAACTATCAATCTTAAAGCAGTGGTGTCACATTTGCATCGAACATCCAAACCCGGCTTGAAGGCAGAAAGGAGATGTGCCGTCAAAACATCAAACTTTCTCCCTCACGATCAAATCCTTGGGCTCTAAACCACATGTACAGATACAGATGTCCATGATGGAAAAGCTAAGCAATTCCAAAGCCAATGCGAGCTTATAAAATAAATTTGAGCTTAGGCTAAATTGTACACTGAAATTAACCCAAAGCATTTACTGCATAGAACACCCCTCACCCACTCACCATGACTCGCACACAATTTCTTTGCATTGGGAGAGCATTGACACAAAATACTCTACAGTTAATTCCCCTCATTTTTCCTTCCAAGCTGTTTCTCTAGAAAACTTTCTACAATGTTGTTGGAAAATAGTAACATGGATTAATCATTACCACGTCTAACTAAAGAAGATAAATATTTGATATTAATAGAAATGCATTTTATTGAGCAATCTATGGCTGTTAGCTATGACACTTAGCTTGAGTTAACACAAAATGTCTTATTCAAATAAAAAATAAAATTTAATTGCAACATGCACTTAGAACATATTATTTACTCTAGAATTTTGAAATGAAGTTTCCCATCATTTTTTTTAAATTCAAACTCGCATGTTAAAATATCACACTTTAAAGATGATTGTGTCATCTACTACAAATAATTTAATTTTTCGTTTTAATTATGCCAAACATGAAAATTGAAAACCAGATAATATATCTTATTTGGTATGGTATAAGAAAAAAAATTATAGAAATAATAATAGTATAAACATAGATATTTTTGTTATATAAATAGTTAAACTTATGGTTGTGGTCAATGATTAGGTTGAATTTAAATTGACTGAACAAGTTGCTGAATGTTACTGGAATTTTTTATCAGGATCTTTTCCATTTTATATCTACATTACAAAACAATTAAATTTTAAAACAAATTAACTTGATGATCAAAACTCATCCTAAATAGTAAAAATTTTGGTCAAGATGTATTATCCATTGAATGGTTAGATTCAATGAATTGTATTTAATGGTTAAGAATAAAAGTGAATAACAAATACCAAATATTTCCTATTGCTTGATTTCCAAGAGCGTTTTTAAATGGCACGGTGCTATATTTAGAACAAAGGTTACTGTACATACTGAGGAAAATAACATTTTGGTCACAGAAGCCATTGGTGATGGAAAAAAACTTCCTAACAATATATTTATCCTTCTCAAAAAATACAAATTTTATCATGTTATAAAACCTTCAATGGAAATTCTACTTTATTTCCATTCAACGTTTTGCAGACAATATTCCTGGAACAATCTCTAAAGCATGAAAATGTCAATAAAGAAAGCATAACGAGTTTAAAAACATATAATATGTCTAATATCATTAAGGGTAATCCTGGCGAATTCCTTGTATTATTGCAATAAAAAGACATAAATAGCAACAAAAATGAGTAGTGACTAGTGATGGGAGAAAAGAAGGCCTTATAACAGTTCCATTGCAAGGAAACAGATCGTTGAAAATGAAAGCTTCCAGTAACATTCAACAACCTGAGAATGTAATTGTTTTATAATGTAGATATAATGTAGATAAGAAATTAATGTAATTGTTTTGTAATTGTTTTCCTATTGCTGGTATGGTATCAATTAAACTTCACCAACCTGAGAATATAATCTTCAATATTTAGAAAAGCTTTCTTATCATCTTCTTCATCAACTATATCTTCCTCACTATCGCTGCAAATTAAAGCTTCACCACAACTTGGATCATAATATATTCTTCTTCGGCCAACAACAGATTGATCCTCTGCCATTCTCTGATTTCTGCATAAAAATTTTCATAAGCTCAGAAAGATATCAGAGAATAGAAAGTAGGCAGTGAAACCAAAATGAAAGAGTAATTGCAGGTAGCACCAACAGCACTAACATGTAATTAAAATTTAATGCAGGATATAAAATGCTATAAACTTATTCAACAAGTTTTTATTTCTTTTAAGCCTATTACTCTATAAGATAAGAATGGCAACCAGAGCATATGTTAGTTGTGAAGTAGTAATACAACTTGAGGTTAGGCATACTTAGTACCTATCCAAAAAAATCCATGTAGTGTATGGAGGTAACTTTGGCATTTCAGTTAATTTGATGGGTCGGATTGAATTCTTTCCGCCAAAATTATGACCAAAAAGAATAGCTGATGGTGTATGGGAACTTTCTTCTTGGTAACCGCTGCTATCTTTATCTGGACAGGAGACATCAAGATTATTTAACATGCTAAGTGCATCATTTTGCCTTCTTGTAAGCAAATCCACACAGGCGTCGCTACTTTCAGCTGAATAGTTTCTCCTGAACTTTGATATATTGTAGATATGCTGTGTAATGCCACTTAGTTTTTGTTTATTCTCTTCAATTCTTTTCTGAAATAAAGTTGAGCACAACATACCGGTGCATTATGTAGAAAAAAATTCAAAATTTAAAAACACAAATACAGGGACTACTGAATCAAATAGAGACCTTGATGAAGACGCAACGATCTGAAACAACTTGTTTCTTCAAGGAATCAATAACAGAAAGAATGTCATGAGAAGTAGGCATGCCTTCCTTCACTCCATCAACCTGCTTTTGCAGAAAAAAAAAAGTGATTGTCATAATTGTAAGAAGCATATTGCTGCAGCAGTATAAAACAATACACCAGCTGCTGCACAGTACAAAAACTAGCGGGACAATTTATTTGGAAGATTTACATACATACCACTCAATTCTCATGTATTTACATATCTAACACCTAAACTGCATGAAAAAGGTGTACTTCCTTCTTTAAAAGTTAATATTATACGTGATAAGAAAGACATGGGTGGTATCAATGTGAAAAAGTAAAGTTTAGGTGTTAAATATGTACATACATACGAATTAGGTGGTACGTATGTAAATGTGTCACTTAATTTTCATCTACTAATTGATGGGGCTTAATATCATTGAAGGTGTGTCACAAATATTAATATTGTTCTCATTGGCATTTTCTTGCTATGTTGTAAATGAAAAGTTCACATAATCTGATTCAAGCCTTATTTGTTTGATAAGACATACTCCATGCTTGCCAGCGTAATAAAGATGGCACACTTCAAATGCATAAAAACTAGCTGAAAATTGGAGTCTCTATTGTTTGTTTACTCGAAAAAACACTGCATTAATTTATTAAAAATGACAGGTTCCCAGAATAGGAATTGCAGTTGCACCAAATTGTCAAATAGAACAAAAGCATAGTGCTCCGCACAATTGGATATGTTGAAAAGACAACACAGAATTCAACCTTTAATGTCGATTCTTCATCTTAGTATGATGTTGTAAAGGAATCCATTTAAATGAATAGTAGCTTCCCAAAACACATGCAGCTCTTGAAAGCAGTCCCTTATATTGTAATATCAAAAGTAATAGACTGAATCAAAAACAAAAAAAGAAAAAATTTATTTTTCGAAGAAAAGCAATTAAAAGAACAAGAGAAAAATTCCAAAGCATCCTTCTCAATTTATCACAAAAAAATCCTACAAGTTCTGTAAATCCAGTCAGCAAACAAAAAAATCTCATTTTCCCCTTCCACCAATCTCAAAAAAGATAAAGGAAGCCATTAGCAACATAATCCTACCCAGCAGAAGATCAAACATAACATCACAAATGCAGCAGCTAGACTACGTTTACTTCCAGCTGAAGAACTCCTCAGTCCCCCTTCAGAAATAGATCTCGAGCTAGAAATCAAACTACCATACCCCAAAAAACAGAAGTCCAACCCCAACGATCCAATCACTCACACCAGTTCCCAAAAAAAGCAATGCAGCTAATATGACGGCAAAACTAGCGAAGATCTCGCATAATCCAACCCACATTACAACAAGAACCAAAATTTCCGGAGCCCAACAGCTAAAAGAATTGAATAAAGCCACAAGCACCTGGATGGCAGCGAAGGGCTCCGATTTGCTGGCGGAGACTGATGTAGATAGCTTGGAAGCCATGGCCAGCCTCAGCCCAGTTCGAAAACCCTAGTTCTCGGAGCAGCGGACTACACCCGCGCCCCAGAAACGTAAAATAGAAGGCAGAAATCGACAGCACGACACGCGAGACAGTTATTTTGGGGGGGAAAGCATCCACCGCGTTTTTATTTTTGAAATCGCGTGATTCCACTGGTGGGGAAAAAATAGCGTTACAGGTACTGCTGCTTCAACAGGTCTACTGCGCCGCCATGCCGCGCCGTCGTGGTAAACCACGAGTTTTCAGGCCAAGGTTCATAGGTTCGATCCAACTGACAGGACGGTAGGTGAGACTTTTGAGAGCGGCTGAAAAATGTTTGCGAAATTTCATCAATGTAAGATTTATATAATCGCTGAATTCGTTTTAAGATGGCTAAAACTCTAAGATTATTAATTAATTAAGTAAATTTTATAGTATGCATATCACAAGATAGATTTTATGATAAATTTTATATATATATATATATATATATATGTGGGTGTAAACGAACCGAACACGAAAGAACAGAGCTTGTGTTCGTGTTCGGTTCGTTTGAAATTTAGTTAGTTTGTTTTTGAAATTGTTCTTGAAGTTACTGGTCGTGTTCGTTTCTTAACGAACGATCCGAACACGAACCGAACACGAGTTGTTTGCAAACAACGAGTCAGCTTGACATCCCTAATATTAATATATATAAATAATATATTATATTAATTATATAACTTATATTATATAAATATATAATAGCTATATTAGTATATTACTAATATAGTATATTAATATATTATTATTATTAATTTATTATATATTATAATTTATAAAATTTAATTTTTTTTAAATATCATAAATTTTTTATATATAATTATCTTAAATTATTTTATATTTCGAACAATAACGATTGGAGCACGAACGAACGCATCACTGTTCGTGTTTGGTTCGTTTAACTAACGAAACGAAAAAAATTTGTTCACGTTTGTCTCGTTTACTTATCGAACACAAACACATTGACAAATCGAGCACGAACTGTTCGCGAACAACGAGTATTTTTGACAACCCTATTTATATGCATACCACACAAATCTTATGTATTTAAATTTTTAACATCAAAATTTTTATATTTATACGCATAACACTCAAATTTCTAATATAACATTAAAAAATCACTAATATTAACTTTTGAAAAATGAAAAAAACATATTTTCATAAATATATTTATGTCAATAAAATAGTATTAATATAAGCATCAAATTTTATGAATTAAATATGTAAATAGAAAAAGAAATATTTGTAGTATTTATATAAATTTTCCATGTTAAATGTACATTTTGGTTGACATAACTTGCTCATATTAGAGCTGTCGTACAGACCCAAGATTTTGAATTGACTATTGAGTTAGGTCGGGTTGGAACAAATGTTTTAAAATTATAACACGATTTAATTGGAATCCAACCCTACCGTCAATTACAAAACCGAAGTCAAGCCACGTGTTTTTTTGCTCTTCTGAATTTTTTTATATAAAACATTTAATCTTTTCTGAATTTAGACCGATTCGAACTAATTTTTATAAGAGCTTAAATTTTGGATTAAATTTTTTTCTGCTTAATTTCAAGCTGTATGAATCGATTTCAAATTGTCTCATAGTATTTTTTAGTTATAAAAATTATGCATATAAGGCTAATTAAAAGTGAATATAACGAATCAGGAGCTATTTTCAAGCCAATGTCGAGATAGAAAGAATCCAAGTAACTCAATTTGAGCCATTTATTTTCAATTTTGATCCGGACTATGCCGATTTCGAGCTGAAACGAATCCAAATAACTCAATTTGAGTCATCTCGTTTCATGATTGAGCAGGATCGAGCTTGATTTAGTTTCAAGCCGGTTCGACTCAAAATTGAAGATACTGAGTCACGACCCGATATCAAGCCGCGCTAAATTTATTCAAGCCCAAATCCTACATAGAGATATTAATAGATTTGTCATTGTGAACATGAATAGACATAGATTTTTTAGATATTTTTAAATTATAAATACGATATTTCATATAAAATTCTTGTTAACCGACCCTCCATCAAAACTTAATTATTTCAAACCTTTTTTTAGCCCTCTCATTCATGTTTTTATTATTGTTTTTCTAATGGTTTGTTTGGGACGACAATGCGGTGGCGGTGCAGTGTCACATCGCAGTTTTTTCCTATTTTGTAAAATTGTGTTTAATCTGTATGTGTTTTAAAAAAATCAGTAGCTAATAGTTGTGCTTTACCACCAAACCCGGCTACCTGCGGTGACTACTAGAAAGCTACTGACTTCTTAAAAAAAATAAAAATTATAATAGACACTGCAACTTTTTGAATAATAGTTTCTTTTTCAGCATGTTGACATTTGTTTAAACAGCTGCAATCAACCCAAACAAATCCCAAGATCAAATAAATTTAATTGAAATATATAATTTTGGGCGGCAATTTGGAATATTTTCAGCCAAATTTATTCCATAAGTCCATTTTGACTGAGTTTAAAAATCTTGGTTTGTGGCGCCATATGTTGCGTAAACAATTCTTGATATTTTATAATAAATATGGTGTCATGTGTATGAGTTTTAGTCAATGTGGAATCCATGAAGTGCTCATGTTTATTTACAAATTGATTCTTCTCATGACAATGCGACTGAAACTTGAAAAGATAGTTGATGAATTAAGAGTTAAGAAGTTTTGCTAGTGTACCATGACAAACATGTGCTTTTAAAAAATACAACCAATACATTAATGTTGTTTGACATACATTTGCAATTTTATAATTCTAACATAGCTGTCTTCATCATCAATTGTTGTCCACATCACTCAAATTTTATCATGTATTTGTCTCACTTTTTATAAATAAATAATTCATTTTACAAATGTCAAGATCATATGATGGATGCTTCAATTAAATTAATAGATGTAAATGTAATGTCTATTATTTTGGGATCCTATCATGATCATACACATTTAGACATGGCACTCTTGACAAATGTTGTTGCTTAGAAGGATATGTCAAGTTGGTCGGATTCAATGACTTATTTCAAGGTTGATTTTGGATATTATTTAGTGGGATCCACTTGACTCTATTTAGATTGAGCATGTAGAGGTCTCGGCTCTCATAAAATACTGTCCTAATTAAAATCCATGCATAGAGTCATGCATTGAGGTTTGTTTTATAGTTACTCATTTCTTAGTTGATAAACTTTGCTCTCACTAACTTTCTACATTATTCATGGCTTCAACACCAATGACTTAGCTAATAAAATTGCTCAATTTTTTAGTCCTTTTGCCCATCCAACAAAAACACTACATTTAATATTTGTCATTGGTTCTTTAGTTGATAAGTCTCATAAATGGTTTCCTTCACCATGAACCTTTTTTTTGTCATCATCTCAAGGCTTACACCTCAACTTCCTAGCTAAAGGCTTTTAGTTCCATATTAGCACTATGTTGGTAACTCTCTCTCTCTCTCTCTCTCTCTCTCTCTCTCCCCCCCCTCTCTCTCCCTCTCTCTCTTTCTCTCTCTCTATTGACTCTCAATGTCTTTATCTGATTGCACATTCTCAAACATTACATGCCACTAAATAAACCATTGATACATGCATCTTAACACAACAATATCCACATCCACAACAATGGCCATATCCAAGCATGTCAAAGAATATAGTATTTAATACTTATGAGGAAATGACATGCTCCCTACTTTCTGGACAAATCACAATTAAAAGACAAAAACACCCTCATATTCGTTTTAAGAAGTTATAAGTCAATAAGGTTGCACTATAAGAAAAACAAACATTAATGACGAATAATTCCTTCGACGCTAATCCTTATTAAACTTGGATTTGCATCAAATGCTTACTCCAAGGAATAATAAGCGTCACAAAGGAAATTAACTTCGACAATAATCGACACAAATAATTTGTATTGGCTTTTGAGTCTGATTATTTGCGCCCAAGCTATATACCCTCCCCTTCTTCTTCCCTGCAAACTTCCACCATTTCTCGAAGTCAGACTTCTCAGGGGTAGATTGATTGTCACAACTATCGGTTGTTGTTAGGCTTTGGCTTTTTCTCTGGCTCTACATGTCATGTATGTGCTTGTAGTTTTCTATATAATTAAAATTAATGATTAATTAATATTTTTCATAAATAATGTAATAAAATTAATTAAAATTAATTTTTATTACTTACATTAACACGCCAAGAGAGGTTGAAGACCCACTATTGCGTCCCCAGGCGATAATGTGTCTAGACATGCAACTTCGTCGCAGTGGGAGATCGGTCAAGATCCTAAACCCATGGATATTAAAAAATAGTAAATAGTGAATAATTGCATCATTGAATTGTCAAGTATTGACTGAGTCCTACCATCTTTCGGTAGTGCTTTGTGTGCGATACTGGTCCTTCAAACTAGAGTGCGGCGTCCATGACTCCCTCAATCCTTTGGTTCTGTTAGAACCTATCCCTCTCTCTGATAATTGGAAGATACTCGAGATCTGGTCAACTTTGCCCAAATATCCTCCCAACCTAGATTGGATGTTTCCCCTTCTTGCGGGCCATTATAAACTTATCACACAACTGATGCCTAGCACAAATCCCAAAATATGTCAGATCTGTTGGCAATGCTCTAACAGTCGGTGAAAGCTTCTCTACAAGATAAAAATTATACAATATTTATTAATATAATAAAAATAACTTGAAATTATAATTCTAATTTAAATTAAGAAATTTTACTTCAAACGCTTTAAATCACGTGTCTTGAATCGCGATCAAGATCTTCTTCGAATAGAGATAAAGAGTATCATTTCTACTTCTAATGATCTACACGATACATGTGACAAACTGTTTGGAGGTATAGAACTTGAAATAAAAATATTAGTTAAACAAAGTTACATAAAGGTTATTCAACTTATTCAAATATAAAAAGGTAACTTATGAGTCTTCCTCTTACTCAATATATATCCAGTCAAAAATGTCCTGCCCCAAAATGGTGGGTGCAGAAGGGCTCATTCCATATGAGTAGGGCAGTGGTGGCCAAGTGCTTGGGACCGAAGGTTTGGGAGAGGCTGCAGCAGTAGGACTAGGTGGTCGGAAAGAAGCAACAGGTCTGATAGGAGCTATTACGTAGTCTGCAAAAACCTCGAGGCACTACCAGAGTGGTGGTGCTGTTGCTGATCAACACAACACTTGAGTTGTGTAACGCTGAGTGAGAAACTAACTTCTTTGTTCACTTGTAATAACAAGGGCTCTGATGTTGAGGTGATCGGTTGGTAGCTCTCTGCTCCCATCTGAAGCCATCTATAAAGAAAATTAGTAC